CGTGTCATTGGTGACATCTTGCGCAGCGTTTGCGCTGAAACACCTAAGCGTTGGAGCTCGATGCTCCCTGTCGTTGGATTTGCGTTGAATAACGCTGTGCATGCCTCCACCGGCTACACCCCGTTCTACGTGAACGGTCTCACACACCCTCGCGTTCCGTTAACGCTACCACTACGTGGTTCAGGGCTTGGTGGGGGAGGAGTAGTCGATCGGCTTGCTGATATCAGCCCTGCTAATGTTCAAAAACAGGTAAGCGAGTTTCTCGCAACGCGATTGAATGTCTTACGACATGTGCGTGACGCACTGGCTGATAGCCAAGATAAGCAGAAGGAACAAGCAGATGCCAAAGGCAGAGGTTGTATTGAACGTTATAAGGTCGGAGACCAAGTTCTACTCAATGCTAAAAACCTACCTACAAATGTAGTATCCGCCGTCTTCAAGACGAAGTTGCGCCCGCGCTTCATTGGACCCTTTACGGTCGTCGCAAAGAAGGGACTTGCGTATACGCTCAACCTTCCGCGCAAACTGCGCACACACCCCGTGTTCTACGTTGCTCTGCTTAAGCCGTATCGGGATCCGTCCCACGTGAACTTGGAGGCGCTTGCGCCGGGTAGGTTGGCTTTTCCATCGGTTGCTGAATCCGTATCAGGAGGTCAAGCTGAGCCTCCATCCGGGCTTGGCCCAACTCCAACGCCCGAACACGGGCTCGCATTGCGTCGAACGCACTCTGGGTCTGACCCAACGTCTCACGGAGACCACTCAGCTTGAGAAGCACCTTCTCGTGATCCTCCTTCGGTATACCGACCACCTCCGACGCTGCTCGATGAGCAAGGGAACTGCCAGTTCCATGTGGAACGACTCCTGAAACGACGTCGTCGTCAGGGTCAATACCAGTATCTGGTAAAGTGGCGAGGGTACCCAAAGTCGGAGAACTCGTGGGAATTTGAGGTACCCCTTCGGCAGGATTGCCCATACGCCGTTGATGTTTTTGAACATCGTGGCAGGGGTCATCCTTCGACCGATATCGCTTCCCACCAATAGTGGTGGAAGCAGGTGGGTATTTTGGTTCCGCTTGACCAACTCCCACTTCCATCGACACAGCCGGAGCATAGCGGGTGCGAAATCGCAATTGGCCTCTGGCCTTAAGCTTGGCATAGCCATACCGAAGCTTTCGTTCGAGACGAACATCTGCCACATTGGCACTTGCTCTGACAGCTAGCATGCTGCTGAGGTGACGTTTCCGGTGCACCCAGCGCACAAAAGTGTTGTCCTCCTCCTCCGGAGATTCGCCTGCGAATAAGAGGATGGGTATACCCCTCATCGGTGGCACCGGTGCACCCCGTGCTTGCGTGTCAAGTCGCAACTTGTATTGACTTAGAGTCGTCAAGTGGGGTCGCAGGTACCTCTCACGAAGTGCCTGTCGGCTCGCCACTTCATCAGAAGATGTCGGCTCAGCGCCAATGGCCCACGTTGCCAGGGAACGACCTGTCGTTTGGCGTATACGCTCTTCCACATTTAGTGGCGTGAACTGATAGCCACGACGACCCTCAAGGTCTGCAGCAAGCTGCATACGGCGCTGAGCGCTCTCCTCTTGTTGGATTACCAACTCTTGTTGCTCATCGAGCGGGTTGGTGATGATGTGTTCACCTGCATCTGTTGCATGATGCTGGGTTTCTAACGCGGTGGTCTCACTTCGCTCGGCAAATGGGTTTGGTGCAGTATGAGGCGATGCCTCTTGCACTGGTGAGTTGGACATTGTCCGTTCTTCACCACGGACATCGGTATCACTACCATAGTCCTCCTCCACATTAATGCCGAGGTAAGAAGAGAGAGTCGGGGACTCGTAAGGTGGCGAGGCCATGGTGTTTCGTGTTCTGAAAATTGTGAGGTTAGAGCGCACACACACCGTCCTCTTCGAGGAAAAGTTCGATTGACGTTTTGTGGTAACGTCAGTCTGGTGGGGGAGGGTGTAACGGGGTTACACGTCGGCTGGTAGCCGACGATAGATGTGGTGCACACACGAGAGGGGGGGGTACCCTATAAGGTAATATTAGAACACAGTGAGCGTATCAATTGTTGAAGACTGGTGTCTGTCATCAATTGATTGCAAGATCTTTTAAGAGGTTATTTAGGGCATGTTAAATACGTTGTTCTAAGGTGTTCTTTTAGGTTAAATGAAGAAATAAAATTCAGTTCCCATTTTGATCAACATAAGACACGTGCCTTACGAGGCGTCTTGATCGGAAGAGCTAGCAACGCCTGTAAAGGTAGCTACTCTTGAGCACTCTGAGCTGTGATTCATTTGAATCGTTTGGTCCCCCTGGAACAGGGACCGTAAGCTCTCTGAGCTTGTTGACTCTCTGAGTCGGTTTCGTAGAACCAAAGTTGCTCGTAAGAGCGTTAAGTCTTCCTCTGGCTTAAGGAGCTGTGTAGCTCCGCTACAATTGACCTGCTCGGTCGCGATCAATTCCCGCAGCTTATCTAGAGCGATGCATTATGCCTCAGAGAGGTAAGCGTTGCTATCCATCTCTATATAGGGCCAATCGTTAACGACTACGGTGTAGAATTGACTATTAGTGCAACTAAGTGTAGCGGTAGTACACAGCGCTTTAGGTCAGAGGAAATCGTTACGGCTAACAGCCACGGCTGACGGCCCTTTATTTTTAAGGAACTACGTTACAACAACTCAAATTTTGCCACTTCTACAGAACAACGGTCGGACCTTAGAGTCACAGGCAGAAGGTCAACAGTTTCGCGAACAACAGCACATAGTGCACACGTGTAACCCGTGTACGGGAGCTCTCACTTCTTTTACTTCGAAAGGTATACTAAACTTTACTAATGCCTATATCTCTAGCAATAAATCGAATACTACTTCTCACATTATCCTCGTATTCGACTTATAAAGAGTGGTCCATTCATGACTAGTTGGTATGTCATCAATTGATGACTGACCTACCGACCAGTCAAACATCAGTGACCCATCAGACAGTCGTCATGGGATGTCGTACTTAGTACATTGTTAATTATAGATCCATAACGAATTCGTTACGTCAAGGATCAGAACACGGGTTATTACAGATAACATGTCAAGGGTCCACACTCCGTATCCTCCCATTAGGGTAAGGTAATAGTAACAGAAAACACCACATGTGGCAAGGCAATAAATGCGTGTGACTCCGTTACACCATGACGCGTTACATGGCCGGCCTTGTCGGCGGGCGAAATGACAATTGCCCCCGGCTCCCTCAGCAGCGACGGCAAGACTCGAACACAGATCTATTTCACACGAAGGCAGATACATTCCGCTGTCTTGTCGCCGGCGCAGCTATAGACACATCGCCATAACCTCTCGGGTACCAATTTTGGGTCTGGCACCGAATAGCAACCCATCAGTCGAAGTTGAATTGCCGAGGAAGGGATCGAGAGTCCCCGTGCAAAAGTGATGTCATACCTGCCGAGTGCAACATCAGGACCTTATGCATGTCCTCTGGGACTGTGCGGGAGCGCAGGTTAGTTGATCATGTATCATAGCCTAGTGGTCTAGATGTTTTGCACACACTCAAGCGCGTATCAGCTTATTTGGTAGTAACAGCACCTACTTCTGTGAGCCAGTAGCGCTCTGCGAATCATAAGGGAGGACGCGGTATCGTTGAGACACCTGTCTTCTTGCGACAAAGGCAACGGAATTGGTAGTAGTAAAAGCTGATTGTCAATCAAGTGCTTAGCCCTGTAGGATAGTGGTGCGCATCTACCTGGGCTACCTCCTACTTCTGCTTGCTGGCTTATTCTGCTGGCTCATTCTGCTGGCTTATTCTTCGGGCATCACGGGCAGCACTCCGCAGAGGGCACGTGGAATCAGGTAACCAGTCCGGGATACAGACAGGACGCTGAAGACGCGGAAAACGCCAGGTACCACTCCAATCACCCCCGGTGGCCGCTGACGCACCAAGACAAGCCGATCTGATCACGTTCTTGGCAAGTTTGCTCCGTGGGACCAGAAATCATGCACTGCGACCTGACCGGCAACTTGAAGGCTGATGTCGAATAGCAAGAACTAGGTGGAAGAACGACCGCTGACGGCATCCGCTACCCCGGGGTGTCCTGGTTGTTGCGCCCCTTGCGGTTTGCACGCCGCTGCTGTATAGCCTTTCCGCTTGTAACCTCGGCACCACTATGGGGCTTCCCGCACAGGGAAATGGGACGGGTTGTCCGGCTTTTTGGAGATCTTCGTCGCTTACTGAGGAATTAGCGAATACCCCTTGTCTCAGCACAGCTTTTTTATATGCGTATATCTGCGGCTACGTATTGGTGGACGCACTTCATGCTGCAGACGGTCCACAGTGCTGACCTTTTTTTCACGGTTGCTGGAACCTTTGAGCATCGACAAGTTTATGGATGGGGTTCCTACCTGATGTTCAAAGCACTATACCTGCTAGCGTCCCTCGCTCTAGGCACAATATTGTCAGGTCTATGCAGACATTTTTTAGCCACAGAGATTGTGGGTCTCCCTCAATGTATGAATGTATGAGGCGGTGGAAAGGACCAGGCAAAATCAACGGCCCTTCCCGTGGATGATCAGTCCAATCGAGTGCGTCACAGTCAGACATTTGGATCAGCCCATTCATTGATTTAAGTTCAGCCGGCTTTGTGCGTCGAGGTTTACAAACGGAGCTAATCCATCGGTTGCCTTTCTGATACTCATATCGCGAGAGCATTGAGCGTACAAATGGCAGCTGCAGCCGGAGTGTAGATCCGTTCTTACTCCCGTCGTCGTCACAAACATCCGGTCTTGGATCAGTGTGACGTGGGTACGGGAACCTGGTCCCCGAGGATAGAAGACGCACTAAATATTCCACACCGTGTGCCTGGTCCACGGATCCGCAGCTCACTTCGTTCATTCTGCAATTTGCCGTGTACCCATCAGACGCTCCCACCGTCCACTCTGCAGTGTGCCGTCTATTCATCGAACGCGACCAGTCATGCGTGTGCACAAGCCTATGCTCGCAACCTGCGTGCTCCTCTTGCAGAGAACGATAGAGTCAACAACCACGAGCGGTGTACATAAGTCCGCTGCTGCTCGGAACGTGTCCGCTGTTTCACTTCGTCGGGAGGAGTTTACGACTGTTGGACCAGCACGGGTGAAGCCACAAGATGCAGACGTGGACGTAGCCAACGACGCAGATGGGGGCCAGGAAGAGCGAATGTTCCCTACATGGGCATCCGTAGTCAAAGGAACGCACGCTATGGAAGAAGTGGAAAGGCTCTCGCTCCCACAAGCACGCACAAGCGAGATTCTTACGCCCTACGCGATCAACGAGAAGGCAGACTCGGTCGTCACCCACGGGATGGCAGAACCCGCTGCCGCCCGCGATGTAATGGACAAGTGGCTGGCGATATCCCCAACTGAAGGACATGAATACTTGAAGAGTCTGGTGAATGCTGGACAAGGAGGAAAGCTCTTGGAAGCGTTCAATCAGTTACGACACGATCCGAGTTACAGAGTACGCGCAGACATGATGCAAAGAGCTCTACTCGAAGAGGACCCGGTGGCTTGGCCGCTGGCAGCCAAGCTATGGCTAGAGTCAAGGGTGAGCCCTGCCGAATATTTCCACATGATGCCGTTCCGACCGGAAGGAAGCGCTGCAGATGTACTCGGGAAGGGCCCACATCCACCCATTACCTATCCTACGCTCGATGATTGGTACAACGAAGTCGGCAAGTTTCGAGAAAATCTCGTATTCGACGACGATCAAGTGGTCGAAGTGTTGTTGGACAGCGGCCGGTCTGAAGATGTGGCGCATTTCCTTTGGCAGCATCAAGGCCTTATTACAAGGAAAGAGCGCCCGTCGCAACAGAAGCTAGCCATGATTGTGTCGCGTTCGGCAGACATATTGGATAAGTTGCCTCTTATGTGGCTGACATGGTCGGTGAGTCCCAAGGACGTGTTTTACATGATGCCCATCTCATTGGATGAAAGTTTTAAGAGGACTATCGAAGAGGGGTCAATATCGAACTCAGTCCGTGATATGCTTCAGACTTGGGTGAACTATCTGTACAAGTACCGGGCTATGGGACTCGACTTCAGCGATGATGAATTGTTCAAATTGATGGGAGGCAGCCCGCAGAAGATGGACGCGGTGAATCGCATGTTGCGGCAGACGCCGAAGCGTTTATCTGGAAGAACGCTCTAAGATGTTGCTACGAGGACAAGTTGTGAGATGCCGGCTTCAGCTTAAATTGGTGTGCTGGCATTCGATCTGGGGCGTAGGTCAACGTGAACCCGCTATTCATTTTTCAACTGAAGCGGCATCTTCACTACATGCGAGATCAAGTGGTGTCCACGTCCTGCAGACTTGAGTCATTCGCCTCTGCAACTCTCTGCGATCTGTTTCCGCGGCAATCTTGGTGTTGAAGCTTCGGGGCTGGAAACGTATGCGCTGAAGTAGCAGAGGGTAGCCGGAGCTACAACCTGCAATAGCCAAAGGGGGTACGTGTTGTTGAATACACAATCATTTGCTTCTTTCTAGGTAACTCGTGCAATGTCAACTTCACTACTGTTTTTCGACGCACGATTCAGCCGAGTTTTATTTCCGCTTTCTCCACATCTGTTCCATGCATAAGAGGAGCGTCTCAAAAAGAGTTGGGCCACTCCACGGCGACTTCCACGAAAACGATACCATTTCCAAAGGGCCTTCAGAAAAAGTCTGAGCATTACAGCCGACCGTCCATCTTGCCGGCGACCGCCACCGTTTGAAAGTGTTTTGGCCCTAAGTTGTACCAATAGTAAGATCGGCGATACATTCGAGCTAATCATTACAAATCATACACGTCCAACGACTTTTTACTCGATGAGAAGAGCACGTCGTCTCTCGACGTTTGCAGCAAAAATAGGTGATTGGCCCAGCTGCATACGCGCACGTCAACGGGACCGCTGATTGAAAGTGATGTGAAGTTAGCATCCGTTGAGTACACGCAGTGGCATTCGAAGAAGATTTATTGCCAGTCAGAAGGCATGATGTAACGGGGCACGCGCTTACCAATGACTAATAATACCTTGTGTTGATCGAACACAAGGCTGGGTACTCTCGACGTCACGTACACATAGCGTGAGGAGCCACGAAGAAAGAAGCAGAGCTAGGGAATTAGCTCTGTTGAAGGGAAACGTAGAACTGTATGTAATATAGCCAAGTGTACTGACGAAACATCTTTTTTAACGGGGCACACCCTTGCGTGAACTTAACGCAAGGGTATCGGTGCCCCGACAGATGTACACAAGGCAAGCGAGGAAGCGTAGGTAAGGTAAAAGCAGAACTGTTATATTAATATAATTAAGTCTTTAACTACTGTCTCTCTGTTTGACTTAACTTAATTATACTAATATAACTGAGTATATGATGAGGTCTCGTCACCACTCATTGCGCGCATCTTGCGGCGATTGGTGGGTTGATATCATCAAGATATCAACCAATGAACAGACCCTTTGGTCGACCCTTCAATATCACCATTATCGGTGATATTGTTCAAAGAATATTCAACTTAATATTCTTTATTGTCATTGTTTCTTTAAAGTGACACTTTTATGTAACGGGCTGCCCCGTTACATCCCCCCTTAACTGATAGTCACCGTGTGACTATCGAAAATAATGGCGGCCACCCGTTGGTCACCATTGGGTGAGGAAGCACTTGTTGGGTCCGTTCCATTCACTTTCCGCTTGACCTCGCATAGTTAACATGTCTATGCGGGGTGACTCAAGACACGCACAGCCCGGTTCTGTGACAGCCTCTGCGGGAGATGATTCGTCGTCTGTTGCTAGTTCTTCGCCTGCAGCAACAGGTGCTGCAGGTGCATGCGGTAAACACTGCGTGCGCATGATGACCCCGACATTGAGGTCATCTACTCTGGCGAGTCAAACGTGTCTAACTCGGGCAATGCTCCAGAGGCGTCTCGATCACCGGCGACGCCTCAGTATTCCCCAAGGCCACTGCCGAACGAACGGACTCGTGAGTTGCATCACAGTCTGTTCGGCAGTGATGATATAGTGATCAGAGGGTTGAGGAGTATTACTCCTTACCACCGCCGACTCGTGCTTCTTCGCACGAGCGTGATGACAATGGCGTGAGCGTCGTCATTCTGGGAGCCGTGGTACCGACAGAGGTACCACTGTGAAGCGTGATGAGCTGAAGCCGTGGCGTTTTCCCGAACGGCTCATCAATGGCTTGTCTCACGAGACAAGCCAACACCATCGAATGCCCTTATTCGATGCAACTGAGCTTCACGGCTTGACTCCCAGCGCGAGCAACTTTCGCGCTGATAAAGATTTTTATCTCGATGTCTTCCTTAGACATCGATGGTACAACAGCAACCAAAAGCGTGACAAGGCCTCGCTTTTGGCTGCGTGGAACGCGTTCGTCCAAAACGTAAAGAGTTTTGGACGAGAAGGGTGGCTCAAGAAGCTTGAGGCGACACGCCTCAGGTTTGAAAAGCGAAAGCCAACCGGTGCCAGGTACCGGTTTCACTGTTTAAAAGTGAGGTCGGCATTCCTTGCCTCACTTAGGGAGACCCTTGTGCGAGTTGTGCTGACAACTCGCAACGTGCACATCGGGATGTATATTCCCTAAGTTCGCCCTGGGGAAGGGCACACATCTCAGCTGAGATACGTGACGCGATTGCAAGCTTGCAATCCGTCTACAAGCGCCTAGGGCGCGTGTTTACCGATGGGCCCGAGGACTCATCGGATGGGTCTCGTCATACTGTCGGACGAGACCTTCAACATCCATCAATAGCTGAGAGCGGGGCTCCCAGCTGTTCCAAGAAGGTGGATACCCCCGCCACTGGACGAGGTAGCTCGTCCTTGATCCTGAATCGTCACGGTGATTCAAGATACGCTCCACTAGAAAGCGTTGATCACCGTGAGCATCCACCAAAGGATGTGGTGGAGGAGGAAAGACCTCCTCCGGATGATTCGGTTCACCATCTCGACCCCTACGAGATGGATCGCGCAATTGATGAATTGCGCGATGACTTGAAGCACGAGCGCGACCGGCGCTACGCTTTGACCGATACCGTGCGGAAGAACCGCAAGGATCTCGAGGCTGATCGGGCGAGAGACCGCGCCGATTACGTCACAGCGCAGCTTCAGGTCGAGCGGGATGTCCGCTCCCTATTCGGTGAGCTGGCGACAGCTCGAGGGGAGATATCTCGGTTGAGCTCCGAGGTATCAAATCTGCGCGACCAGACGGATCGTCTGGAGCGCGAACGCAAGAACTTGATGGATGTTCTTGAACGTGGGGGCTATCTTCACCGGAAGAAGGCTCGTACTGACGGTACGGCCTGAGCCTCCCCATGTGAAACGTAGGATGCGTGCGCATCTTACGTGGCAATTCGAGTGTGTGTGCATTGCCCTTGCGATGCAACACTCGAAATGGACCAATGTACTTCGGCAGTAGTTTACTACTGCCGACACTAGTGACTGCGTGTCCAGGTAGGTTTACCGTAGACAGTAGTACTAGGTCGTTAACCTTAAATGAAAGAACATTTGCTCTTCCATTCTTGTCTGCGTTCTGTTTCTGGCGGTCCACCGCATTTGCGATGGAGTCTTGAACGAAACGGACTACCGCCTCTCGAGTCAGCAGGAAGTTCTCTGCTGACTCTTTGTTTTATCTTTCAGTGCGCTTCGTGCGCACTGCTAAGAGATTGATCTCTTCTTCAGCGAGGTTGTCTTCTTCCTCGCTGGTATAATCGTTGACGATGCTGAATATACCAGCATCTTCATCATCGTCCGAGTCAGTAATAGCGTCATCGCTACTATTGAGGTGATCTTCTTCATCGATGTCGACCTGATCGACATCGGCATCATACGTGACGAAGTTAGCGTCGACACGTGATGAGCAAGAGCCAAAACGGTTTTTGCTCGAGCGAGTCCCTCCCCCCTTATCTAAGAGTCACACTCTAGAAGGGTGGGCACACGTGGATGGCGTAAGCCATTCACGTAAAACGGTGTGTGCTGTGTGGAAGCATGCACGAATTATTGATGGCGAATTCCACCATGGGAGGAATTCGCATCAACTCGGAAACGAGTGGACATATCCTCGAAGGATCTCTTCGAGGACACGTTTCGCACATTCCGTCTGACCATCTGTTTCGGGATGGTCAGAAGTAGACATCCTCAATCGTGTTCCAAGAGAACGGATCACGGATTGCCAAAATGCCGCCGTGAAACGAGGGTCACGGTCGGATACGAGTTCACGGGGTAACCCGTGGAATCTAAAGACCATGTCTAGAAAGACACGAGCACAACCTTGAGCCTTGATCGACTCTGCTGAATCGGTCAACAAACACAAGAATACCATTATTCTTGTGAGCGTCTTCGGGAAAGCCGAAGACGAAGTCCATTGAAACGGACTGCTAGCACTCTGTCGGAACAGGCAGAGGCTGAAATGGCGCACGGGATGAAGTACTATGATTCACCCGTTGAAAAACCTCGCAAGCACGTATGTACTTCCGAACAAACTGATACTGGCGTGTCCAGTCAAAGTCACGACTTACCGTGAGGTAAGTCTTTTCCCTTCCACGATGGCCGCCTGTTTGGGCATGGTGACACTCGTACATGATGCGCAACCGCAAATCATGATGAGCGGGTACGACGACACGAGGCGTGTCGTCGGCAACATCTGTATAGTACAGCAATCCGTTGCGTGTACTATACCGATCCGATGAAGATCGGTACAAAGCCGGTAAATCCCCCATGGATTTACTGGATGGATTCACCAGATGATCCATCAATCGCAGAAGATCCTCATCTTCCGCGTATGCCTTTCGTACGTCGTCAAGTAAACTTGACGACGGGACACTGACTGCCAGTGTCGCAACAGTGGGCTTATCCTCACTGTTGATTTGTGCGTCCGGCTCAAAATCGGGCCGGCGCGAAAGCGCATCAGCGACGACATTGAGTCGTCCTGGTTTATACTCCACGGAGAAGTTATACTCCGCGAAGAAAGACAGCCACCTCGCCACCCTTTGCGAGAGGTGTGGGCTGTTTACGGCCGTGCGTATTGACGCATCGTTTGTATAGACGATGAACGGTCTATCTCCCAAGAGATAGACGCGAACCTTAGCCAGTGCGTATTTCATGGCAAGGAGTTCCTTGTCATGCACTGGGTAATTACGCTCAGCTGCTTGCAGCTGACGCGA